CCTCCAGAGCAGAGAGATTTACAGGCACCTTAGCAGATTTCAAATGTGTCCCAACACTGGAATGATGATGATGAATGAACCAATGTTCTGACAAACAGGCATTTTGACAATTAAAAATAAATTTTAATAACTCAGTAACAAAAAAGCAAGTGGAAAAAAATGGGCAGAGGATCTGAATAGACATTTTTCTATAAAAGGTATATAGATAGCAACAGGTACATGAGAAGATACTCCATGTCACTAATCACAAGAGAAATGCAAATCCAAACAATAACGAGATATTACCTCACACCTATTAGAGTGATTATGATCATAAAGACAAGAAATGACAAGTGTTGGAGAGGATATGAAGGGAACCCTTGTGCACTGTTGGTGGAATATTAGTTGGAAAACAGTGTGGGGATTCTTTAAAAAATTAAAAATAGAAATACCATATGACCCAGTAATCCCATTTCTGGGTATTAATTCAAAGAGAACAAAAAATACTCATTCAAAAAGATACATGCACTCCTATGTTTACTGCAGAATTTTTTTTTTTACAATAACTGAGAGATGGAAACAAACTAAGTATCCATCAATAGATAAATAGATGAAGATGTGATGTACACAAACACACACAAAGGAATACTATTCAGCTATAAAAAAGGAGGAATCCTTGCCATTTGCTATTTCGATAGACCTTGAAGGCATTATACTATGTGAAATAAATCAGAGAAGACAAATACCATATGATCTCATTTGTGTATGAAATATACAGATACAGAGAACAGATTCGTGATGGTTAGAAGCTTAGTAATGGGTCACCTTCTCCTCACTAAGGTCAAAAGGTACAAATTTACAGTTATAAAATAGATAAATCACAGAGTTGAAATGCACAGCATAACAACTATAGTTAGTAATATTGTTGCCTATTCAATAGCTGCTAAGAGAGTAGATCTTAAAGTATTCAGTGGAAAAAAAAATTAACTAGAGTTATCACAGTGATCATCTTGCAAAAATACAAATATGAAATCATCTGTTGTACATCTGAAATTAATATAATTTTGTTTCCATTATTCCATAATACAGTTTTATCCTAGTGTATCAGCCAAATTCCCAATCAATATTTCAGTATCATCATTTATGACTTATCTTTTCCATAACAGATTTCTATCAAGATTCCCTATATTTGCAAAAAATCGACTCCTAAAATATAATTGTATTAGGTTTATATTATGATCCTTGCAAAAAAAGTTTTAACACTTCTTGAATTTTCTGTAAACAAATCATAATTACAAAATAGATGTATTTGAGATGGTTCTTCCCCTTGCAAATCTAGAAGCCAGCAGGATTTTGACGGAAGCATGTTCTAAGCGAAGAAACTAGAAAGTTGAAGCGGATAATGCAGGCTGATGGACCATGTGCTATTCATGAAACTGTCTATGGGGATTTCAACTTCCTAGACAGTATGGAAGCCACTGTTTTCTCCCTGTGGTCTTCAATTACCAGCAGCTTTATAAAACATACATGAGAAGCACCAGGTAGATGTTCTGTCAGTAGCCTCCCGAGGGAGGTGAACCTCTGTGGTCAGAGAAGCTCCACAAATCATTCTGACTCAGGAGCTTGGGTAAGAAATACTGGCTGAAGCCAATGCCCAGGGTGAGAATTTGCTAGATTGTTGCCAGTGTCTTTGTGCCATAATTCCTTTCATGTAAGCATGAACTAAAGGTAGTTTGCTATGTAAATGCCTTGGTTCTATGCTCTTAAAAATCCAGCTCTTCAGTTCAGACCCAAGCATTCAAATAAGGTGCTGTGAGGGCATGTGGACTAAATATGAAGGAGTGGGACTATGTACAGTGGCAACTTCAGGTGGTGAATATCAGGGCCAATTAAATATTGTTAAATGTCATGTAAGATATAAATTAGATCTTATCAACTAACAATAAATAGAATTAACACTTACGTTGTAAGAGAAATTCCACAAATATGTTTGCTACTTGAATCTGCACAATAACAACTCTAGCTTTCATAAGAGGAAGTCAATGCATAAAAAATTTGGAAAATAAACTCCCCGAGTTCACATACCTTGTTAATCGACGGAGCTACATTTAAACCAACCAGAGTTAAAGTTTGAGTCTTTAATTTTAACTTGTGCATCAAACTGCATTTAATATCCAAATGGATGTAGAATTTTCCAATAAGCTAATAATATAAAAATATTTCCATGGTTTATACTAAACAATTGTAAACAGTCAAGTGAAAGCCTAGCTTAAAGGAATCATGTCATTCCTTAATTAAAAGCCAAACTTTTACTTCTATTGAGTGAATATTCAATCAATGAAAGTGAAATGTCTACATTAGAGGCAGGGTACAAAATGAAGGACCAGCAAAGAGCTCCTATCCTACTACAGCTTCAGTTGCTGCTTGTGAAGCACAGACTATTAAATTCAGAACAGGCTGCAGACAGCTCTGGACGTCTCAGTCTCCAGAGAGGTAACATGTTTCCCAGGATTGTGATCACGAGGAACATGGCCAACCCATTTAAGTTTGTAGTTCCACGTCGGTTCCCATGGACATGAAATTCAAATTCTCTGCTAACGTAGGCTAAGCACTGTTTCAAATCTCCCTGAAACCCTTCCCCGACATCATTGGTGCATCCTGACTGCCTGACTCCCCCCTCTGCTCTGAGAAGGCCCCTGATTTGGAAGCTGCTTTACCACCAGACAAATTGGTTTATGGCCCCACAAGTTAAACCTGATCCATGTGTTTGGGGAACATGGAGATGCGCATTAAGAAGAAACATTACTTTTTGATCCAGGCAGGAAAGCATACATAATCTCCTCTAGAGCCTGTGAAAGACTTCATTTTCCACGTGAAATTGTGTGGAATTGCCCTGTACTGCTCTGAAGCTGAATAACCAGCTTCAAAACACACTGCTGTGTGCTGGTGAGGGTGTCAAGCACCAGGAATAAAATGTAAGCAAATGCAATCTGTGTAGAGTTACAAAAAACAAACACCAATTTGTTGACACAGTGACTGCTTGGGACGCATCCTAAACATTGCATTGATCTGTCATTAGGAATAGAGTCCAAAATTGAGCCTGGGACATGAAGAAATAGGAGACAGAAGGGCTGGCATGGTATAGAAATACTCAATACATATACTTTAATTGTGTGAAAGTAGTTTATTTTTTTTCTTTTTCTCTGAATTGTAAAACTCTTTTTTTTTTTCAGAGTCTGGTATAAAAATCTGTTCCTGATAAATATGGGGAAATAACCAAAAATTTTAAACCATTGCAAACACTACAGTCAAGTGGATTTTTAACCATTCGCGAATTTAGCTAGCCTGGATGTTGAACCCAAAGCATCACCTGGGATCTAGGTAGCTCTATGAAAGAACACCAAGCTTTGTTGAGAATTTTAAGACAGAATAGGACTTGGGTGCATAAGAATAGCAATTGTGAGGTTTACACTACATCATGCACTCCCAGCTTAGAGGGCCTTGCTACTTGAGCATAATAAGTAAACCCTACATAAAAAATTTAGAATGGTCTCCTGCACATTATGGGGATATTGTTGGCATCTTCTGATGGGTCATCTTACCCTTGTTATTAAGTGACAGAGATCATTAAAATGCCAAACATATTTTGACAGAATTCACTTTATAAAATGTCAGCAAGTCTGTGTTTTTATTAGTTTGTTCCAAATCAATTTAGAAATTTCAATAGAATGCTTGTAAGTATTCCCCAAGCAATGTCCATTCCTGACTTTCTGCACCAAAAAATATTACAAATTAATCAGATTTTGAGATTTCTGCATAATGGTTTTGCACATTTATTGCTTAATCCTATTATAAAATCCTGTTATGATTGACACATCGCTGTGGAGATAGAAGTCAATTGAATAATATGTAGCAGTCAATTTTATTTGTAGCTTAATGTGCTGAAGTATTTTTTCCACATTTCCATTATTTATAAGTCTGTCCCTTTGGAGAATATATAGAAGAATTTGTTTTAAATGAGCCAATAATACCTTCTTTAAAATTTATAAGTGTGACAGAATCATCTTTTTTTCTTGGTCGTCCACAGCCTGCCAGTAAAGAGGATTTGAATTGTCTTGCGCTTGCTATTCACAGGACAAATATCAGGAAGGAGGATCTTATTAAGGATAGTTTGAAATTGGATTTTAACCACCAAGAAGACAAATATAACAACTAAAAGCCCCCCCATAATTGCTGCTAACGTTATTTGTTTAAATATTCCCATTCATTGTTATTACCACTATCTTACCTGCTAAAATTTGTCCTAAAAGAAAGTGCATAGCACACACAGAGAGAAACTATGTTTAAGAAGGTTTGAAACATTCGTTGTTTTGATGATGTGCCATTTTCCATCCTGTGGCATCCAACAGGATTCCAGGGACAGAAGTAAGTTGTGTTCTAAGCACAATAAGACTCCCTGGGATTACTGGGGGGGGGGGGGGCTGTTTCAGTTAGTGCCCAGGAAATTTGCTTAAGTAGGTCCATATTCTTTTTTAGGACATCACATTAGGTGACATTGAAAAAAGGGTTTTGTTTTTAGGAAAGCACGTAAGTCTGAAGCAAATGGCTTAAAGGGATAAAACTGTATTAAGGGATAATATAGATGTACTTGGTCATGTCTGAGATCATGCTTTCTCTGGCTCTGGGAAATTACTTCCCATGCATAAAGGATGCAGTTTCCCACACCTACGATGCACCCCATGCAAACTGATGTATAATGCAAGCCTATTAGTGGGACGGATGATGGTGTCACTTTCCCTGCTGTCATAGCCTTCTATCTCCCGGAATGACTTTAGCCATCCTGAATGTCTGTTAGCATAATTTATGCAGTTGACAAGTGATTTGAGCACTGGAGTTATTGATAAACTACTCTGGCATTTCATCTGTGCCTTAATGTTATGCGACATCTCTGGAAAATGGGATCATGTGCACTTCCTGGACTGGAACTTATATTAAGAGACCACCTCTATTTTGAATTCCAGGGGCCAGAGGAAACCCAGCATTATCAGACCCAGGCACTCCTGAACAACAGCAGGCCAATCAGACCCACCCCCCATTCCCGGTCGGGCCACAGGTCAGTATCTCTCACCTGCTGTCCAGTAGGTTGCAATTAGGGTAGTTTAACCAGATATATAGCCAAACAAATAATGATGAGTTAAATCTAATTAATTAACTCCAACAGAGCCAAGATGATGATAAATTTGTGTATGGGAAGCTGTATCATTGCATTATTTATTAAGTACCACCAAGAAAAAATGTGTTTGCAGAACTCTCTTCCTTTTTTTAAAGGTAATGTTGGTTTTAATCATTTGGAAACTTTTTTCTTCTTAAAACCCATTACAATTGTGCTGTTGGTTACCATGCAGTTTTCTACAAAGTAAAACTTTAATGACTGGAGTGTGAAGAAAATTAAGTTATTTCAACCTTACTATAGCCATTTTTGAAATACAAGATGTGATTTAATATAAAAAAGTTAATGCAATTTTAATGCAAGTTCAGCTTATTGGGTTTGACAATACTGTACATCACATACAGCTGCTGCATTAATAAAGAAATACATTCATTATTTTTTTAAAGGCCTATATTTGTTTTTTGCAGCCTGGTATGGTATATGGAGATATAGAACACAATTATAAAAGGTTGGAATTTTTTTTATCTTTTTTATTTTTTAGCCTCTGTCATTTTGTGTAAAGCTTTTGTGTTCACCCTGCTTCATAGAAAAGGAAGCTGATGTTCAAGTCACTCTCTTCAGATGTCATTGTTGTTCCCAGGAATGAATCATTGTCAGCACTTTGAGGGTTCTCCAATTCAAGGCTACAAAACCCAAGTTTCGATCTTGGGTTTACCCTGACTTTTTTGTTTCATCTGTCGCCAAGTGTCTCTATGACCTCTGACCAAAAAGTCCCAACATCAAATGCCTCTGACCTCCAGGACTAAAAGCCAGGGAGATGTCTGCCTCCAAACGAAAGCCTGTAGTTTTTCTATATCTTGAAAATTGACTTCTTTCTAATTTCAACTTTGTAACGTGTGTGTGTGCGTGTGCATGTGCGTGTGTATGTGTGTGTGTGTGTGTGTGTGAGAGAGAGAGAGTGATTTTGTGAAATCTAATACCTCCAGGATAAATGAGCAGAAAGACAGACCCAGATAGTGAGAAGTGGTTGCTACTGTGACAAACTGCTGAGTACATGTCCTCTTTAAACCCACAAATTAAATTAAAAAAAAAAAGTCACAGGCCCCAAATCCTGAATTTGTGGTCTATATACAGTCTGAGGACTTTCCATTTGCCTTTCCTTTGTCATGATATGACTGGGAACATATGTAATCTGAGGACTGGCTTATGCTTCTGTACTTATTCCTAAAAAAAATGTGTTATTTGTGCTTTTGAGTAAGTTTTCTTAAAAGAAAGGCGTATTTGCTTTGGGTGTATTCAGTGCAGTCCAACATGTGCATAGGAGCCAGGCCCATGGAGTCTAGAGCCGTGGCTCTAAAACTAGGCTGCACAGAATCCAGCTTTCCTTCAGAATTCCACAGAACGGGCCTTCAGGATCGACAACAGGGGGTGGCCAGCGAGTGGGCTCAGCATGCCCCTATTCTTCAAATAAAGCAGCCCCTCTTCTCTAAATATGTTCCAGATGATGAGAAAAGGGTTGAAGATAGGATCTGGAGCAACGTGCCTGGCCTTGAAGCCCCACCCTCACCAGAGAGGGGTCTTTGGGCCAGTTACCTACCTCTCTATATCTGTTGGTTAGAATAATAGAGTTAATACAAGTTCAGCATCATTAGATATTGCCTAGACTCTATGTATCTGTCTTTGTTCTAGTCCTTTATTTAATTACCTTTACTTATTTTATAAAATCTTGCTGTGTGAAAAAAAAAAAAAATGAAACCTCAGTACAGTAAGAGTTTTGTACTGGTTCCTCTAGCAGAAAAATGGACATGGAACTGTGTACCACATACTCCTAGAGAGGTGCAGGGAAAGTTCTGGACCAAGGAGTCTAAGGTCAGTGACCCTTCTGATCATTTGGCCTGGCCAGAGTAGAATCCACACTGTCTTCCTGATGAAGACTCCACACCCGCGTTCAAATATATCTAGTGCCAGCAGAGCACACCTGTGAGGCTGTGTTCCCATTTCAAAGAGTAGCCATTGGATAAAATAGTGGACATAATATGTTTTTAATGTCATTTTAACTAAACAAAGATATAATAGACATAATGTATATATACAATGTTTGCTTAGTTATCGTTCAGATTATTTTATGTATTCCATATAAACATTTACCATTTTTCTAAAGAGTACTCAATGATCTGTTGTAAAAGCTGTGTAACAGCTAACCAAGTTTAATAATGTAACATTTCTTAAATGTTGAAAAGTAGTTTGGTACATTATGCTACTTTTGTGCATTATTTTTTCTTTTTAAATCCCAGGAATATATTTTAAGTCAAAAGGATAAATATTTTATAGCTTTTGATATGGATTTCCAAATTGTTTTCCAAAATGTGTATACCAGTGTTCATGTCCTGAATCCAAATAATGATGTCTCTACAGACTTACCAGTTTTGAATAAATTTTTTTTTGCTCATTTAACACATGAAAAGAGTATTTCATCATTATTTTTGACCCATTGAAATCCCGCTGATCCCAGTGAAGTTTTCTGGAACAACATCATTAAATATCAGAGAATTTCAAATATATAAGGAGGGATCAAGTGAAAATTCATTGGAATAATAATATTTAAGGGTGGGATATTAATTATAAAGATATTTGAACTCCTCAGAAGAAGTTCAAACCAAATGAAATTAAAAAAAAAAAAAAAAAAAAAACAATGTGTAATTTCAATTTCTCTTTTCTACCAATCTCTTTTTTTCTGGAATAAACTATGTGACTTTGCTACTTGGTCAACAGCCTGAACCTGCTTAAGTGGAAGAGAAAAAATGCTTTTAAAGCCCATGTCTTGGTTCTACTGGAAAGTAAGCTAAGATCATCTGTTTCTTGCAGCCACTTCTGACGGCACAGCAGTTAGCCTCTGCTGTAGCCGGTGTGATGCCGGGAGGCACGCCAGCCCTCAACCAGCCCATCCTCATCCCCTTCAACATGGCTGGACAGCTAGGAGGGCAGCAAGGACTGGTCCTCACACTGCCTACTGCAAATCTCACCAACATCCAAGGGCTGGTCGCAGCAGCTGCAGCTGGAGGCATTATGACTCTGCCATTGCAAAATCTACAAGGTAACCCATATGTCCTTGTGGCATGATAGGGTGCTGCCCACTGGCCAGTGTTCTCTGAAGTAATAAGTGTGTTGAGTGTTCCATATGGTTCAGAGTTGGTGCCACCATGAAGAATATGGAAAGTTTATGCAGGGGCTCAAAGTTTCAAGTTTTCTGTGAATCCTAAACTTTCTCAAACCATAGATTTTATCAGCCCTCATTTTCTAACATTGATTTGAAATCTTTCAGGTCTTCTGGAAGCATTTTGAGCAACATAGGGAGACACATCAAAAACTTAGATGTAAAATTACTGTGCAATTATTTGAGGATGGGTTATAATCTCATGAACTGTTCAATTTAACCAGCTGCAAAAAAGGTTAGCCATTACTGGTCTGTGTGTGAAGTGGTTGGAACATCTCAAATACATGGTATCATTTGGGGTAATTTAATTATTATTTTGCTTGATAAGTATATTTTTGTTATCATTCTCAAAAATTATATTATGGTCATATTTTGCAATGAGAAAAATAGGCCTGTATTTGAGCCTTTATTATTATGTAAGCATGTGACAAGAGTTGGACTCTAATTTTACTTAAGTAAGGTCATTCTCTTGTTATTACTAGGGATTTTACTTTTTAAAAAAAGATTTAGTAACACAGATTTACAAAAGACTCTGTCAGAGGAAGAATTATTATGGTGGAAAATGGCCTGAATATGGTTAGGATACCTAATGAAAAGAAAACAGATATATTCTGGGCTGATCAGACATGTTCATTTTCTCCAATGATAAAATGATAACAATTTGTTTTTGTCGAGTGAGAATTTGATTAGGAATGTTATTATAATAACAAATTAAAGTACTTTTTTAGTTGATCAAAAGTTAGGGCTCCCTATTACTTAAATTGGTTGAAGTGTGAGTCTACAGAATAAGAAATGGGCCATGTAAGAGCTGGTTAACACTTGACCCAAACTTATTTACACCCTGTATGTTTTACTAGCCAAGCCCATTGTCACCACTTCTTGACTTTCACTTCAATGTTTAAAACAAAGTCTTTTGTATACCATTAAATTGTGCCAAGAAACCTGCCTTTCATAAATCGGACACACTAATGCACAAACTTTGCTCATTTCAAATTTGAGGGTTCCTTGGAAGCCAGGATCTCAAGACAAAGCAAATAAGGCAGGAATAAGCAAGGTGAAAGCAAAACACCAAAAGTATAGGGAGAGGTTTTTTAATATAGGTAGATGATGAAATCTTAATGAAGAAATGGGCATTCTCAAAATGTAACCTTCCATTTGGAACATTTGCACTTATGGGAATATTGAATTTTATAAATAAACATAAGCTCACAGAGCTCCTAGTTCATGAATTAATTCTGCTTAGTTATGATGGACACCAAATTTAGAGTCCCAAAAACAGGCTTGTTATATCTGTGTTATGGTTGTACTCCTAGGATTTTAGTACCTGGCTATTTTAAAGGTTTAAAATTGGTGATTGGTTTTATGTGGATTTCCATCAAGATTTTTCTCTCTCTCTTTTTTATTTTTGTAAATTTAGTGTTAGTTCGTAGTTTGGAATTTTTTCCTTTTTAGTACCTTTGGTTTTAGAAAATGAGTCTTAAGATTTGTGTACTAATTAAGGAGGTGTGGTAAGACTACTAGCTCTTTTTTAACCCTTGGTACCACTCACACAATTCTCTATCAGCCTTATTTTCAGAAGTGTATTGGATTTGATGGTCAAGTTCTTGTCTACTAGACAATCACAAGGAAACATTTCTTCCTTTGTCTCCATTTTTGAAATTTTAATGATTCTGGAGGAGTGGTGGTGAGGTCATTAAAAAAAAAATACTGGGGGGGCCTCCCTGGTGGCACAGCAGTTGAGCACTGGGCTGTGAAGCTGCCTGCGGCCTCTGCAGAATTGGTTCGATCCCCGGCCACCTGTGGGGATCCTGCATGGCACGCAGACCTCTCCTTTAGTGCCTGCTGCTCCCCTCAGCAGTGTACTTCATTGGTCTGCCTGTTCTGCTCCCCGCTCTGGCTCTGGTGAATTCTCTCATCCTCCCACGCTTCTGACTGTACCCAGTGCTTATATAAATAATAAATAAATCTTAAAAAAAAAATTGGGGCCTCCCCGATGGCACAGGGGTTAAAATTTCAGCACTATTGCCAGCCACTGTGACATGAGTTCAATCCCTGGCCAGGGATCTAACCCACATATGCTGCAGCAGACCTCTCCTATCTAACCAGCTTCTCCCCTTAGCAGTGTATTTCAGTGGATCCACCTGTTCTGCTCTCTACTCTGTCTCTGGTAAATCCTCTCACCCCCCACACCTCTGGCCTGCACCCCAGTTCTTGTATACATAAATAATAAAATAAAAATAATAAAACATTTAAATTTTAAAATTTAAAAAATTTAAATTAAATTAAAAAAAAAATACCTTCCAATTGCAAGTCAGTCAGTTACCAAAAACTAACTCCTCCTAATTAGTCTTAATACTCCTTGGGCCTTCCCTGGTGGCTCAGGCAGTTGAGCACAGCGCTGTGAAGCTGTCCACAGCCTCTGCAGCACCGGTTCCATCCTGGCCAGCCAGCGAGGGTCCCACGTGGCACAGCAGACCTCTCCTGTCTCGCCCTCTGCTCCCCTCAGCAGTGTATTTCAGTCAATCTGCCGGTTCTGTTTCCCACTCTGTCTCTGGTGTATCCTCTCACCCTCCTACGCATCTGACCTATACCCCAGTTCTTGCATAAATAAATAAATAAATCTTAAAAAATAAAAAATACTGACCCTGCCCTACCCAACTCTTTCTTTAATGTTTTTATGAATGAATCCCAATTCCTAAATCATTGTTAAGATTCAGAAGAGCTCAGTTTCCAATTACCTTGGGCATTTCCTTTCCTTTCATATCTTTGACAAGATTTCTTCACCCAGAACTCACTAGTCTGCAAAGTGACCAACTATCCTGGTTTTTTGGAAATGAGAGCTTTCCCAAGACATAAGACTTCCACTGCTAGAACAACATCAGGACAACTGAAAGAGTTGGTGACCCTGCAAGAAGTTGAGAAGATTGTAATCAGGTAAATGCTTCCTGTCTCCAAGATGCCCAGAAACTAGATCCTCTACCTGAAAGAAAATGGCAGTCAGACACTTTGTCAGTAGCAGACCAAAGAATGATCTCGCTGCCTGTAGGGACCTTATATAGCCCTCAACAATCTCTAGGCGTTGACTATAACTCAGCAGCTTCCCAGGTCATCTCACAGAAGATAGTGATATGAGAAGGGGCTGATGGGTGGAGGACTAGGAACCCACAAAATCATTTGCAGAGGTCCTGGCCAGTTGTGAGACTGGGCCAGTCCTTGGTATCTTCCAGTGTGATCTTCTCTCTGGGGTAGTGATCTTGTAAATGAGCTACAATATCTCCTTTGTGAATTGTTAAGGTTTTACTCAAGAAACAAGTCTTCCAGCTGGAATTATCTCTGACATTCTCCAGTCTTCCTGCCAAGTTCTATAACCTATCTATTCTTCTAGCTCAAAACTTGCAAATTGTCCCATTAAAAAAAAAAATTACTGATATCAGTGTCTTAATGGTTTGGATTTTGTGGATAAGTTCTCAAGTACTTTCCTCTTTACTAACTGGGCTGAGAGTTCATTTATGCTCCCTATCAAATGACATGAAATTGCTCTCAGAGCCTCAGAGGCCATGATTCAGGCATGTATTTTAGTGAGCACTAATGGCAGGATGTTACACTGAGGCTGACTTTTCTCTCCTGGTATCCCATCAAAATCTCCCTCTATAAACTTGGTCCCCAAATCAGGAACATTTTATGGGAGCTTGTTAGAAATGCAGAATCTTAGGATTTAACCACAACACATTGAATTTTTATTTTTAAGATTCTCTGGTAATTCTTATGTACATTAAAGAAAGGCTGGCCAAGGGAGCATTTTCAGAATTCATTGGGTGTTTCCCCCACCATGTCCATCAACCCCTCCAGATTCTGAGACTTCTAGGATGATGGAGAGCCATGTTATTGATAAGTGTCCTTATTCATTTTCCTCATCTACATTGCCACCTCAGGCCCAGGTCACTAAATGAGGAAAATGACTGAAAAGAATAACTTATTTAGGAACATTTTTGCTTATTTAGGACAGTCACCTTTAGGCCAAGAGGTGATCTCTTGCATAATTGGGGCACAACTGGAAACTTTACCCTCAGATTTTACCCAGAAAATTCCTTGTATTACTAAAAGACACCATCTTGTCCTGCTGAAAACTCTTGTCTGCATGGCCTGGGTTTTTTTTTCCCCTTTGTCCTCAGATTCTTCCATACAAGAAAAAGATGGACTCCTGTCTCATCAATGATGGGGTATTCTGGAAAGGAAACAGGCAAGAATAAGGAATTACAGACATTAAAGAATCCTAGGTATGGTCCTGCAACCCAGACTCAGAGATGGTGGAATGAGAGAATCCAGTGTGACCCACTATGCTTCAGAGACTTAATTTTCCTCTCTGAGCAACCAGCATCAATCCTCATTTCCAGGGTAAATGCTAGCTGGTTTCCTGCTCCCTCCTTGTGACTCTTATCTACTGTATTGGTTGACTCTTGGCTCACCCATAATTTTGGTTCATTCATGCTCCATTTTGTTTCCTCAGAGTACAAGTATCTTTCCAATGCATGTACCTCCCTGGGTCAGTGTCTTCCAATCTACTTATTTTGGAATAGAGTGCAATTACAATTGCACTAAAATTGTAATTTGCAATTGTCCTGGTATGGGAACTAGACTATTATTTGATGTGGCACAATGAAGCTCCCATTATGGAACCCATGTAAATGTGTTGGATTTTTTCTTTTTGGAGATTTAGAAAATGTAGATGAATTCAGTTTCAGCACAAGTGACCATAAGTAGCAAAGGGGTTAATGACAAAACTGAGGTGTGTCTACATATAGGACAGATAATTCAGGTTAGTGACTTGTTCTCATCACCCAGGCTGGGGATGACCCAGTGTTCACTGTGGGCAACAGAAA